GCTGCCATAACTAAGCTGTATTATAAGAATTTTGTGTTTCATGTTGCAATGTTGGACGTCTTTAAAGGTTACCATTTGTAATTTTTGGTGAAACCATTATGTCATGAACAATGCCATTAAATGCAGACGCATACATTTCATGAAATAAAATATATATTACACTGGGCATGCAAGCGTACTTAACTTATACTGGCACATTACAGGCGCAAACTAAACTGAACTTAGTGTGATGATATCTTAGTATGTTAGAAGATCTCTTTTATATATCTTTACTGCACGAAAATGTCTTATTTTTATTATTGATTGGTTGTTATGATGCACAGGTGTACAGAAATGGAACCATTAGAAAATTAATAATCTAAATAATATAGAAGTTTGAAACATTATTATATATATGTTAGAATTGTGTGACAAAGTAAGATAAGCAGTAAAACTAAAATATCTTATCTATACAGTTATTTGTCACAATTAATGTATCATCAAAACGTCATTAAACCAAATTTGAACCTGAGATTAAGTTTGTAATTGTTATTTTGCATGATATATTTTATGACTTGTCTCTTAATCTTATAAAAAGTGTCTAAGGAAAACAAAAAGAATGATTTTAAACAAAGTGTTTTAAAGTTGCTTCAAAAAGATTATTAATAGATATTTAAAATGTATTGCTAGAAAACTTTGTATTTATCTATGATTCACATATAAATAAGCACTAGAATTCAATATACTAGTTATGCATTTTTTGTTAAATGTTGCTTAGAATTTCATCTGTATAAACAGTATAACATTTGAAGTATTCATTTATGAACTACATGTATTAGAAAATCTGACTCCAACTATATGAGGTTATGTCAATAAATAGTTATATTTTACAGCAAAAATAATTGCACCAGTTCATTTCAATGTACCCATTTTAAGATGGTACATGTTTATCATTAAGAAACATTTTAGTTTTCAATAATGTTTTTAAATACAGATATTGTTGACATATGCGATAACTTGTATGTATGTAACATGACTACATCTTAAATTTTAAACATATGATTAATCGTTAAGCCATACAAGTATCTTATTGTGTAGCAAAACTGTTTCAATCAGATGTTTTATTTATTTATTTATTTATTTTCTTATGATATTAATTCATTTTCATGTCAGAAAACAACCTTAAGAGCTTTTTTATTACTACTACCAGCACTTTAAATACATCATTGCATTTCCTTAATAATTATCATGCTTCGTGATTTTTAATACATGGTGCAACATTTAAGGTTTCAATTTTAATATATTAAGTTAAGTATATTTATTCAAATTTGCGATTTTAAAATATTATTGAAAGGAACATTTATTGTTTAAAAACAAACAAAACTGTCTATCATACTATCAAATGATGTTTGCTACAAGAAATGTTATACACTAAGTCTCATTTTAATGTGAATTCGTGCAAAATCTATGCAACTTTCATAATATTTCTAATATTAATACCAACAATGATTTATTGCTAACAAAAATAGACAAAGAGTTTCGTATCTAACGTTTTCTAAAAACTGCTGAAGCTCACAGTTTGTGGCAATTTATATTAAAGAAATTTTGAAAAAACTTTATTGTCCCCCTAATTTTAAACAAAATTTTTTTGTCCCTTTTTTTCAAATTTTTGGAAAAACCCTTTATTGCATGGTTTTTTATTTGTAAAACAAATTTTTTTTGAAAAAGTTTTCTCTTTGTTAAACAAGAACAATTAACAAGAAAAAGGAAATACAAGTTATAAACAATACAGACACATATTTAAAAAAATTATCAGGGACCTTATAAACCCTCAAACAATTTTTTCTTTGTTTTGTATGTATATACAATTTATATCCTAATATGTATAGTGTCACTTATTTATACAATCAGGTATCAAACATTTCTCTTACCTTTGTTCAAATAAGCTATGTATGTGCATACCAAGCCATTTTTACGTAAATGCAACGCAATGTGTGTCCATTATATATAAATTACATAGACTTCCTATTTTTATTAAGTCAAGGCTGTCTGGGCTTTATTTGTTTCTCATTTGAACAACATGATATATTGTTGATATATTGTTGTAACATTATAACAAATTACATCTATATAAAATAGGAATGTGATTGAAGGCTGACATTAATTTGTTTTTGTTCTTTTAACGTTATCACTAAATAAACAATGGAAGTGGGAGGCATCTCTCTCACTCTCCTCTTGAATCAATATTTTACCCCAATATGTCTCAACATCTGTTTGTTTATAAGTCATAATGAATAAAACTAACGTAAAAGGTCATACAGATTGTGTCTATTCTCGTCAAATAACATTCAATTAAATTCCTACAATTCCATCAGATCAATGTATTTAAGGTTTTCTTTCATAATTAAAAACAAAATGTGATAAGTCAAACAATTTATCTCTATTTACGTGTTGTTGATTTTGCCATCATATTATAATTGAGGAATACATTATTATGAACATTTTCGATTTTCTTAGTGTAAACTTAATGATAAAATAGAAAGAAATTAACTTTTACTCCACATCTTGCTTATAAACAAAATCTTACAATTTGCGCAAATAAAATGTATAAAAAAAAACGTTTTCCCGAAATTATGTGTAATGTGAATTGCGATTACTATGCTGAATCAATCTAGAATCACACTTCAAATACCTGAAAAGTTTAGCATATATTGTTGAATACCTTAAACGTTAAATCATTATATGCTCGTATATTCAAAATGTTAACTTTAATCAAGAAATCTTGTTCATTTGGCAAGAAATATAGGCCCAGTTGCTCAAACCTTTAATATTTAATTATAATGAAACCATAGTTAAATTTACAAAAATATGTTAAATTCTACGTTAAATTTTGTTGTTAAACAATCCAGTTGTTCAAGCATTGTTAACGTTAAAGTTGTGTTAAATTAACAACGTGTTGTTATTATTTTTTTTTTTTGTGTGTGTTAAATATCTTTGTTAAAAAAGTCAGTTGTTCAGAAAAATAGAGTTATCTTTTAGTTAAAAAATCGGCTTTATAACGAAGATTTAACAACAAAATTAATTCACCTCCAAAGGTGAATTAATTTTACTATTAGTGAAACAGAAAATTGCTTGTCCCCTTCTATGCCCCTGTTAATTCACAATCCGTTACTTTTATCATTTTAACAAAAATGGGATATCTTTCTCAATCATAAAACATATTATAGAGGTTTCAGCATTGTTTTTTTACAGCGACGCCTCGTTAACTAACGTAAATTTTAACATGGCTTTGAACAACTTAATTTTTTGCATTTTGTTAGTCAACGCGAAAAAGCTAAAAATTAACAACTGCTAAGTTAATTTGTTGCTAAAGTTAACAAAATATTTGAACAACTGGGCCATAGTCTTCATTTATCTAACATAATTATATTCAAAGTTGAGAAACCAACTTGTTTTCATAACTATCCTTTTCTTATGAAAGATTATAAATTCCGATGAGGTAAATAACGGAAGTGTAGCTATCTTATAAAATAATGTTTATTTCATGACAGTTAAAAATTCGATACAAAGATGGGTGTCAATAAAAAATTTTGTAAGAAAATGTGAGCATAAACTTATTCGTACTATAATCGCTGTGGCATAGAAAAAGATCAATATGCATACAAAATGGAAATACAAGGATACTAATAAGACATATTCTTTATTTGAGCAAATTTTTTAGCAAGTTTTTCTCGTTAAGTCTCCTTTACAATATCAATACAATTCTTTACGCAAATGATTTAATATTATAAAACGATTTACTAAGTAGATGTGAATCATTGTATATATATATATATATATATATATATATATATATATATATATATATATATATATATATATATATATATATATATATATATATATATATATATATATATATATATGGCTATTTAACATTTTAAGTGGATTGGTCTACAATGATGACATAATGTTGATAAAAACAATAGAATTGTATCATTTTGATATTCTTAAAAAGTATTTCTTGAACTAAAAGTTGTAAACAAAAAATATTGAACAGACGATATTTGTTTTATAAATATTCAGTCACCGCATTTACTTTATTGTTGTCGCATACAGTAAAATAAGTTGAATATATCCGTGCAGATGTTAAATTTGTCCTTCAATCTAATAGATAAACATGATATTGATCATTTATACGATGGAAATCAAATCATAGCTAAAAGATCCACACTAAAACATTTGGTGCTTAGCCAAGTCCAATTATTACATGTAGTTCGAGATAGCTACGAGAATAATTACCAGTTTGGCTGAAATAAAGAAACTCGTCCACAACTTGTATTGTTTCATTTATAGATATAATTACCCGAAGAAGATAAGAATGTATACGTCATTACAGTTAATTATTTTGTTTCATTTATAAAAGCAAGTAACATAAAGCAGAAAACTTCTTACATTTTTTTTTCATTTCCGATACTCATACATCTTACATACATATAGCTATGACGTTACGCACCATGCTTCATCTTTATTTGCTTGAATTGCGGCTGTTATTGTTATTGTATGGTAACCGTTATTGTTTCCGTTAGGTTTACCCATGTCAGAATGACTTGGTGCTAGATAGGTCACGTGTTCTATATTTACGTCATATTAAAATACAATGTGTTACAATGACGTCATTTCGACATATTCTAGAATGAAACTGCATTGACAGTAACGAGCTTTGTCCAGGGGCGGATATTCCTATCTGATTCGCAAATATAACAAACTTTCAAAAGAAAGATAATACGAAAAGAAACAAATTGCAGCAGTATAAACTTTTCCTGAGGTCAGACAGAAAGTGCCGTATTTCGTTTTCAGCAGTCAAAGTTCTTTTCGGAATCTTCTGTTGCTTTTCTTTTCGGAATGTCGGTGATTCTACTAAGATTCCTACTAAGGTTCGTGTCTGAAATAATACACGGAAGGGCATCTGAGGTTTCCTCCACCAGTTAAGCTGGAACATACGCGACGTATGTCCATATAATGTGCCGGTGTGACATATAACCCATTCAAACAAAACATTTTTGACGCAATTAGACGCAACGAAACGTCTACATTTAAATAAAGATGTCATTACGATTTATTTGATGTGAACTTATCCAATAAAAATACAATATCAATTACATTATATAACAATTTTGTAAACTCGTTTAATATCATTTTATGTGATGAAACTATATGTGACGAATGTGAATATAAAGCTAGAATAATGTTACTTAACCTTTCACGCACAAAAATACATTATTTTGTTAAACGATGTCTCACGGAAGATAATACATCAAATAATGTATCACTTATCAACGTATTCCGTGTCTTTTAGGGATATCACACCAAAACTTGCCTTATTAACACAAAACATTATTTTTAGAACTAACATCAAGAAAAGATATCGCTACACAAACAGTTCACAGACATCATCTTAAATTAGATAATTTCTATAATAATGATTATAGTATTTATACTCTGCGCAGGCCCCATTCGCGTACAGGATTCACTTCAATATTCTTCAATTTTGTTTCCTGAAGAGATTGGTCATGTTGCGATGCATGATGCCTTCTGAATTCATTTGATTCTAGCGCTTGTTTTGGATTCTGGATCTTAGAAGATTTGGTATAACTTCTTTTAATGTAGTGTATATCATACGTAATTATTGCTGCATACTGGAATGAGATATTAATTAGTTATTAAGAACGTGAAAAGTATTGTTTTCAATTTAACTTCAAACCGAGTTTATCTTAAAAGTCACTTTACCAAATATATTTCCTTTAAATACAAACTGTGTAAAATACACAGTTTATATATACATTTTATCAAGTTGTGTTCTGTTAAGTATAAAGAGATGTTGATACTAATGAGTATATGTTTGTAAAATGACATACAAATATGGCCGTTCTCGCTAGCGTCTCAGTCAATATAAAACGATTATTTTCTAATTTTGTTAACTGTTTGAAAATCATTATGAAATCGTTGTCAAATTTTATTTCAAATTAATTGTACTACTGTTATACCACTTGCTATGAACATGCATGTACTTGATATACATGTATTAAGATTTGATATTTAAAACCATGATTTGCAAAACTTACGAATATCAGCATAAGACATCCGGCTATCGTACACAACATTGCAGAATATCCTGTATCCTGTCTGTATGCATTTTCAACATAGATAGTTGCTACTAGAATAAGTATAGCTAAAACAGAATAATTGTTGAAACGATTAAGTATCTAAAACAGTTTTACTGTTTTAAATGTAAAAATATTCGTAAAATTAAAATTGATAAAGACCATTTACTTTCAAATCAGAAAAGCTTAATTCATTTCGTGTATCAATAAACTTGATTATTGAGCTGGCACGACTGCAAACAACAGTAGGTTTAATACATTCTGTGTGTGCGGGCAACACGGTCAAACCTAAGTAAACCAGACGATATTTTATTTAAGTGAAGATTATATTCCATTCATTTAAAACTCGCAAACATTTTATATAAACGACAAATGTCAGAATTGTGTTGATTTTCAAAACGTAAACGAACTCTATCCTTATCTTATCTACTTTTATTGCGACTTCTGTCCTAAATACAGAACTTCAAATTCATTTTTCATTGTTTCATAAAATTATCTTTCTTTTTTTACTCATGCCAACAGATATTCTCAAAATAATAATTGTACATCATTTAAGAATACAATGCTCTTTCAAATTTACCAGGCAGGTTATCCTTACTTAGAATTGATTTAGTATTTATATTTATTTGTCTATTTACCTGCAGTGGGATAGAATATCCCAAATGAGATGGACAAGAAAGACATGTATAATGAATTTTGGAACAAGTCAAATACAACTGCTGTAACGAGTAAACTGGCATTGGTATACACCACAACAATTGCGGCTGTCATCAGTTTAAAGGAGTTTCCCAATACTGTGGCTGCAATAGAATACAAATAAATACATAGCTACAAAACGCTAAAATATACACTAAGCAATACATTACATCCTAGTTAATAAGACGGTCGATCCAAAATTGGTCATTCAATTTCAAATTTACTCGCGGATTTGATTGGTTGTCATGCGTGATTTCATTTTGTTTGTTTCCTTTTAAATAGTGATTGGTTATTGATTAGTGTTTGTCTTAACCTTGTGCCGCTGTACCCACTTCCGGTAAATGTCTGCATACCACTCTGGAGTGTAACTTCTTATTGCGGACCTCACAGCATATTTGATCTCATCTTCTGTATCAAACCTCCGACCCCTTAAATCTGCTTTCAGTCCAGGGAAAACACAAAAATCTAAGGGGCGAGATCGGGGCTATAAGGGATATGACGTAGCCGCTCATATCCTAAGAAGTCAATAGTAAAGAGTATCTCGTCTGCGCGGTGTGCTGGAGCGTTATCTTGATGAAAAATAAAATTTTCGATGTCGCATCCTGTTCGCTTTTTCCTGATAGCGTGCGTTAGATCCCTCCGCACAACCTGTTAATAACAAATTCATTTTATTTGAAACTACCACAAATGCGGCAAATTATAAAAAAAAGAAATTATAAAAATAATAGTTTCTTTCACTATTTGTTATATTTTATTTACTTTTCACCTTACATATAAAGAAGCATAGAAATTTAGAAAAAAACATTTCATGCGACATAATTAATGCTTACCTTTTGATAGTACTCTTTGTTGACTGTCGCCGATCTTGCCACCGCATGTTGCAACAGCATACCCTGGCTATCCATGAAGAAAATATACATTTTTTTTTCCGCCGACTTGCAGGTTTTCGCCTTCTGTGGGGGGGGGGGAGTGATGAAGGTCGCTTCCACACCATCGACTCTCGTTTACTCTCCGGGTCGTAAAAGTTCACCCACGTCTCATCCGTAGTGATAATGCGCCTTAGGAATCGTTCGCCGTCTCTATCATATCGCCGTAAAAATTCTCGGGAAGCGTTTACACGGGTTGCTTTGGTTTCATCTGTTTCCGATCTTTGGCGATGACGTCCTTCACATCTTGGATTGAGCGCTGATCGTTACCCGGTCTTCCGCTTCGTGCACTTTCAGTAATTTCCGTCTGACCCTCCCTAAAACGCTTTTGCCAGTCAAACACAAGTGTCCTAGAACAATTATGAACACCCTCCGTCTGATTCAAAAACTTCCAGGTAAGAGTCGGAGTCATTCCAGACATCGCACAGAATTTTATTACTGCCCGCTGCTCCGTACGTTTTTCTGAGGTTGACATTGTTTCGTATAGAAATTTTCACGTTGCTTGAATAATCGTGCACAAAATGGCGATACATTATCCGATCACGCTGGATTTTAGCAGTTGTTTACTAGAAACTTTCAGCTGACGTCACGTACAAAAAATCACGACATTCTGGTGCCAGTATTTTGAGGCATTCATGAAAGAGTTTTATTCCCATCTAGAAAAATCAAATTAATTCTGAAATGCTCCGTACACGGGTTGCGGGTGTGTTTCATGTGAAAAATAATTTCCAAATATTTACTAAATTGATTTTTTTCATACATGTTGATACTCAAATTAGTTAAAAATACCTTCATGGTAAATTTCAAGACAATCAGACGTCAATAATCTTTTTAAACAGACCAGTCCGGGAACTTTTTGACTATACCTCGAACATGCTATTGTAAAACTTCGTTTTCATACATACAAATATACATTAGCATATGACAAACCGTATACATATAAAAAGATAAACAATTTCACTTGTATATTATCGTATTGTGAATATCATTACAAACTATATGAACCAAGGAGGATGTCAGGTTCAAAACCAAAGATTAAACAATCAGCCCATTATAAGGAATGTTAAAAGACTCTGGAAAACTGTTCCTATCATACCAGGGTTAGTTACAATATACTTATATACATGTAGCTTGTTACATTATTTTACCAACATAAATGATTGCATGACTGTAACTTATATTTTTCTATATAAAATCTGTTTTATGTCTTATGTTTTCGATTTATCCCAAATACTTACTGCAAAGCCATATGCAACAATTGCCTGAAATATAATATTGGAATATGAATAAAATTGTCCTTCGCAACCGAAACCGAGCGTAGAACTGTGTTTATTTTTTTCGAGCATTTTTACCGCTTAAAACCACATGACCAATCACTGATCACTGATATACGCATCAGTGATCAGTGCACTAGTTTATGTGCGACATAACGTCGCAACATACGTTCTGTGGCTATACTACGTAACGCGCAGAACTTAAAAATCTAACGAAGCCCGCATTTTAATTGTTATTTTATTTTTCTATTTGTGGTAAGTATAACTTGATCGGTTGCTTATCTGGATACATTAATAAATATATCGATTGTAGAGAGATCGTCAGTCGATATCGTCAGTCGATATCGTCAGTCGATGATTTGTAATTATATTCAACGACCGGAAGTTTTAACGTGCTTCAAATCCAAATCGATAATTTTTTCACCGATCAACTTATCTTTCCCCACTAGCCGTTGAAACATAGAAAACAGCTAAAATAGAGAAAACGGAATCCCTAAGAAAGCCCAACACGGCAAAATTGTAAAATGTTGCAGGCTCGGATTGATTGAGCCTGTTCATGGACGGTACTGGAAAATGCAAGTTACCGTCCACGCCCCCAAGCACCGGCTTAAGCAGAATTCAACATTTAAACACATAAATGGTGAAATTTTGAATTTAGAAACATCGGCAGATGTGTTCATACGGCGGTTATCATGGAACCTTCAATGCGATACAGTAGTGTCATTCCACGAAAAGCGGCGTATGGTCCCCAAGAAAAAGAATGTGTGTGCCATAAACGAGAAAACAATGGGCGGAACTAAATAAAATGGACTTTTGAAAGGGGATCTGAGGTTATGAAGCCTGCATATCACAGACAAGACGTCAAAAAACAATTTAAAAAGCAGGCAACATACCCTAAGGGTGATTATACAGTATTCAGGAAGGAATACTGGAACCACCCATGTTGAAATAGGCCAAAAACAAGAAACTAAAAATACCATCTAAAATGCATACACAACAATAATGTCGTGCTGAACGATCTTCAAGGATCGAAAATATAACATCATTGATTAAATATACGGGGAGACTTTTCACAGCCGCCACACGGCACAAATAACACGGATGTGACAATAAAATAAGTTGGCAGTAAGTGGTATCGGTTTAAAATACTTTGTAACCAGTTCACTGTATTATAAATCTAAATATCTTCCAATCAATAACAAATGGATTTGTGTACCTTGGGTTTTAGCTTAGTATAACAAGATTTCTTCGGAAAGGTAACTTATATTTGTTTCTTCGCGCCATTGCAGTATAGGCCATATGGCGACCTTCAAGCTTTACTGGTGCAGGGCAATCTCACGCCCCCAACAGTTTATTATTCCAGGCACAAATGGGCACATGTGTAGAACAAATAACGTTCATTGAGCTAGATGAAACGTGGTTTAGTTTCTAAATATATATGAATTCATTCTGTACATAGTCACATTTCAAATCATGACGAAGCTTACGGAACGTCGGTGGTTCTACTCAGGTGCCCGTTCGTGCCTGAAATAATGCACGGAAGGGCACCTGAGGTCTTCCTCCACCAGTAAAGCTGGAACGTCGCGATATGACCTATACTGTGTCGATGTGACGTAAAACCCAAAACAAAAAAAAACAAAAAATCATGACGAATGTCCATTCCTGATTTTTTTAAGGGAATGATCAAGTTCCTGTAACAGGAATACTTATTTTATTAATATTTGAACAATTTTCTAAATATTTTGTATGCTTTAGTATTCATTACAAAGTGGCTAGTGTTTTTTTCCACATTGTTACAGCATAAGGGTTTATTTATTTACTTATAATAATTATTTATTTACTTTTTTATTTATTTATTAATTTATTTATATCACCAAACTATGAAATAAATACACAGTTTCAATTCAAAGAATAATTTTATGCAACAATATAAAATTGTATGCTGTTATCATTCATTCATTACATTTACTTACATGTGTAGTCAATATTATTTTCCTTGAACCAGTCAAAGGTTTTACTATCACAGCTTCGTGTCACTACTCCAATACTATAGCATTTTTCGTTAAGGTAGCTGTTCCAAGGCGCAACATTAAATGGGTAATTGGTACGAGACCATTCATTGTCGTATTTGCCGTCTACAAGATGTATAAGTACCCAATAGGGGGTGAAATATCCAATTGTTAATAGCCAAAAACTTACGAAATATATAATCCCAAACACAATCACAACTCTGAACTTTATCCTTTTCGACAGCATTTTTATTTCCCCTCAAGCATGGAAATAAAAAAAACAAATGAGAAGATGCAACTTGTAGGTAGTACTTTTATTGATACCCTTCTTTTGTAAAAGATTGATTTCTCATATAGAATACATGTTTGCATCCAGTGCATAGAATGCTTCTAAATCCAAAATTAAAATTCAACGTAAGTATAACACAGTTATAATCAAAGTATTTTTATCAGTACAGATTTTGTAAAGATTTTAGATTACTTTAGTATACACATTATTTTGTATGTTTATTTCTTATCACCACTACCTGAAAAATGAGACGGATAAGTGATTTATTTTAGTTAGCTTTCAATTTGGTTTTGTTTGATTTTCAAACGTTACTTTTCATCACATGTTTGCAATAAATACATGTATTAACGTATAAAAAATAAATATTGAAAGTTAAAGTACCGGCCACAAATAGGCTTTTTCGAACCGAGTCTGCAGCATTTTTAATTTTCCTTTCTTGTGCTTGAGACTTTCCCGTTTTTTAATCTGTATTATAACTATGTATGCCCGTAACGTATAAATGTGAGAGATATTTATGTAAAGTAAAAAGAAACGCATTTAATGTTATAATATAACACATACTTTTTATGTAAATTGCATATATCTTAAAAATTGTATCCGGCAGATAGGGTTGAATGTCAGCTATAATTTCATTTAATAAAGTCTTACACTGCAGTCCAAAATAATGGGTTAATATTTTTCTAAACAAGAATGGATTTTTAAATTAGATTTGCAAGGAATTTGTTGATTTCGAAAGCATTTAAAATCTAAATGCTTTACATAACGCATAATATTTTTATGGCAATGTCATTTAATTATAAAGCAATGGTCAGATGTTATCCAAATGGACATTTAGTTATAAAGCTCTTATGCTGCAATTCCAAACCAGTGAGTTAAATATCATTATAAAAAGTGAATGTTAATGAGGTTTTGTTGAGTGTAAACGCGTTCATAACCATAGAGCTCTTAATATGATATGTTTTTATCACCGAGAAAAGTCAAGATGTTATTATATAATAATTTGTATTTTAAGGCGAACGCTTATAATCTGAGATTATCAACAAATAAAAGAGTTTATGTGAAATTGTACGTTATACTTTTCCCTTATACTTTTGAAGGGAGCGGTGGCCTAATGGTTGAGGTGCCTGCCTCTCAACCAAGAGAACATGGGTTCGAGCCCTACTCGGATCACGACCATGTTTCTTCATATGACACCAGTACTGATAGGTTCAAGGAAGCGGACTTGAAAGTGAGTAAACTTGAACCGCAATCGAGCTTAAATAAATATGTTTAAACCAAACTAAACCATGCTTTTCCCTTATGTATCAACTAAATTTATTCTTTTTGTTTCAAATTGGACAAACTTCATAGGTGATAAAGTCAGTCTTACCCTTTGTTTTATATCCTTTCCAATCATGCGTCTAATTCAAAACCAAATAAATAAGGGCTCAGCAAATATATGTTCTAACCGCCTCCGTCGTCGAGGGATTAGAGTCGATGACTTCTAATCCAGTTACCTCTCTGGCGTGAATTCGATCCCCGGGAGATGCTTTGGTAGTTTAGCGCTGAGGAAGGTAGTCTAGTACTGTCGTAACTCTCCAGGAACGATGGTATATATGACTGAAATACTGTAGGGAAAGGCGTAAAATGAAACAAACAAACAAACAAACAAACATATATGTTCTAGTTGATACATACAGTGAACTTAGTTATTAATTTAAAGTATGATTTTATTCATTTATGATGATTTTCATTGACTGTAAAGAAAAGAAAGTTTTATATCCATATTTTAATAGGCTACATTTTACAGTTGCAGATTCATGTATACTATACTCATCCTTTAGTGAAATATTTTAATCATGGAAATTCATTGGAGTCTGTAAATTTCAACTGATTATATCCTATTTGAATAAAGCAATAAGTTAACTGTGAATATAAAGCTGCGTTCTTTCTAACAGGCCAAGTAAAATTGGTCTTGGCACTTATTATTCATATTGTTTCCATCAAACGTGTGAAGAATTTTAAACATATCTACTTTGTGTGAAGTCAAAACATATTTTATTTACAAAGGGACTGTGTATCAATAATTATAGTTTCTGATATTAGATTTGTGTTTGGGCATTAGTGGTACTCAATTTTCGACACTTAAAGTGCTGGATTCAATGATCCCGAAGGACCAGAAAAACACTGAAATTAAGTACTGGGCAACTTTTTACGGCTGCCGCATGGCACTAAACACCTGCTGTTGTGATTCATAGATATCTAGGAAAAAATGATATATAGGAAGCATAAAAATCAGCGAAATTTTATGAACATGTAATTGAAGATTATACTGTGCAATCAAAGGATGATACCCCAACGTTAATAGTATCTACATCAATCTATGAGAATAAAAAAGAAAGAGGTAAACATCTTTAACAATAGACTTGTATTTTTTTTTATTTAAAATGCATACGCATTGATTACAGTATGATTTTTGTATACATTGCTTTCAATGTATACAGAGTTATAAGCTATATCTCAGAAAAGATACAGGTTTAATGCATTACCGAACAACATACACTCCCGGATAAAAACCGCTATAGAAACTAGTTCTTCATTCTGCAGTAGCGTTACATTCCGACTACACATCATTAAAATAGTGTTTGCAAAGTTGTTTAAATGCTTTGAAATTTCCAAATAGTTCATTTTCATGAAATAATAGACTCTACATTCCTTTAAAGAAAACAAAAAATAACAGTTCATTGATAAAATCGTAGTTTATACCTACGCGTTAAACTTCGCATATACGCATGCGCTTGCTAGCATGAATGAATACATCGTAAATATAGTAAGGTCGTCAGAATTATATAAATGGGACGAAACATCTCAGATAGATGTTTAATCAAATAAAATTCCCGATTTACATTTATGCAATAAAATTGCCCTAAAACGTTTTACAAAATGGGTATGGAGCTCCGTAACAAAATTTACCAGCGTATACCGGAAAATGTTGGGGTTTTTGTTGTTGTTGTTTTTTTTTAAACCTGGCAATTATCGTGGCTTCAAAAAATAGAAATTCCGTAAGCTATTCTTTTGAATACCTTTTTTACACATGATTTTCCTTTCACTTTTGTATGCCTTAGACTTTTTAAAAGAAATGTGTTTCGAAATTCAGCGAAGATTGCCTGATTCAGTACGGGTAAAAAAAAAAGATTCGGCCGCTCGACCGTTCGACCCATAACAATTCGTCGAACTTGGGATATTGACGATTAAGCCAGAGTATAGAGCTAAATATAGGCATATGTGGCCAGATTCGACGATAAGAAATAATCATTTGAAACTAACTGTGAATCAGTGTAAGCATTAAGAAATAAATACATTAAATTATGTTCAGAAAATAGGAATTTTTTTAATCTTCTTACATTAATGGGTGCATGAAAAACACAAAAAATACCGAAAAACACTTAATATACAAAAAAAATATTTAGGCTGTGATTAACTTCAGCAATATAAACAATTTTTGATGGTTATTTGATGAAATGGGTTCAATAACATCAGTTTTAAATCGATAATATCATAAAATACGCTGATGAATGTATTCGCTGATCCTGCGTCGCACATAGAAAAGCCGAAAAACACACGTCACAGGCAAAAAAATGCTAATTTCCATTTTAATCACCAGAGAAATTGTTGTTCACAATTCCGATCAATCAATTTATCAGTTGTCAGCATTATATCGAAAAGAACACACTATAAAAAATGTTTTTGGAAACTCAAGGGATAATCTTAGAAAATATGGATAAGCCGAAAAACACTTTTCACGGCGATACAATTGGTATAATTCCAACAAAATTAGTATTATCTACTTTTTTCTATCCTTTAAATGATTAAAATTTACTTTCTTTTTGCAACCAGTGTAAATTAGAGAATGATTCTATTCTGTATTTAATGCGATATGAAAGTGTTTTCGGCAAAGTAACAGTCTAGCTTTAAAAAACATGGAAAAGCCAAAAAACACAAAACAAAAAAAACACACACATTTTTTTACGGGCGTTAAAATAGTCGTAATTAAAACAAGAGCCGGTATTATTTTTTTCAACCATTTAAATGAATAACTATTACTTTCTTTTGTTACCAATGGAAAATGTCAGTGATATTATTTTTATAAATACAGTATGAAAGTGTGTTTCGTTTACGTAACGGTCTAGCGTCAAAAACATGGAAAAGCCAAAAAAAAAAAAACACATTTTACTGGCGATGAAATGGACATTTTTAAAATTGGAACTATTGAATAAATTTTTCAACCGTTTAAATGAATGATTATAACATTATATTTCTTAGCAATATCAGTAATATTTTTGGAATAAACATTGTATGAAAGTGTTTTTCGGCTATGTTACTGCCTAGCGTCAAAAACATAGTTCTCAAAGCAAAAAAAAACAAACAAACAAACAACACATTTTACTTGCGATAAAATAGATATATTTAAAAAAAGTGCTGCTAAGTACATTTTTCAACCGTTTAAATGAATAACTATTACATAAAATTTAATACCTTTGTAAAATGTCAGTTATTTTTTGTAATAAGTATAGTATGAAAAACTTGTGTTTTTTCGGCTATTTAACAGTCAGCATTAAAAACATGGGAAAGCCGGAAACCACATTGGACTCGCGATAAGAAAGGTATATGAATAAAAACACCCATAAAATTAGACTTTTCAATCGTTTAAATAATTAACTTTCACTTTTTATTTGTTTATAGTAAAACTAATCGAGCAGTCGTTTTATATTTATATGCTATATGAACTTGCGTAGTTACAATAGAGTAAAGAACATATATAGAAAAGCAATAATTTACTTAATCATTACGCAGTATCTTATTATTTATTTCAGTGTTGAAACCTATAGGTTGGCTGAGGGTGAGGTTTTAGATTGTTGAATGTCGGCCATCAATCTTATGTCAACTGTGGTCTGTCCACATTTAGCATTGTCGGATACCCACGGCCGAACCATTTACATTTATCAGTTATGTCATGTTAAATGTTAATCAACCATGTGTATCCGACGATGACATTACAGTTGTTAATAATCTGCTGGTCATTTAGTTTGTTAACACTTTACT